AGTACCGGCCCTAAAATGGAGCCTTGAGGGACCCCACTAGTGACCGCCCGCCAGCCTGACGCAGCCCCATTTACCATAACCCTTTGGGCCCTGCCCGTTAGCCAATTGCTCACCCATCGTATGATGTTTTTATTTAGCTGTATGGTTACATTTGCTAAATGTGGACAATGGTTGTATTTCGCTGAAGGCGTTTGGGCTTTACTGTGTTTGACCTGTTTGCTATAAGGACAGAGGGAAGACAGCCATCACAGAATACTTCTGTAGGCTCTGTTCTTACAGAAATAACTAGATTAGCTGGTACTTAACTAGGCATCAGACAAGTAGTTGCAGTTTGGGGCACTACATACCTTATTTCATTGTGCAGACAGAACACTATTTTTAAGATGGAGCTAAGCTGATTTCTCCTAGTTTTATGGTTCATCTAAGAGAACAGAGCTCCCTCCCAGTTCATGTTATGATCTTACACACATATATACATCTATTTAATACTTGAATTTTAAAGCATGAGTTCAGCATTGCTTAGTGTAAAATTCTGAGATAACTAATCTATCTCAAATGACTTGGAATGTGTCTGTGATCTAGACAGACTAGGTCTTCAAAAGTAGAAAAGTGCTCTCCATAACATAGATTTTTGCATGAAGACTTTGACAGCTTCTTACTCTCATGTTATATAATAGGTTTAGTGAACACTGGTTGTTTTTTGTGTAGAAGCCATGGCACTCAAACAAGAATACAGCTTTCCAGGAATGGAGTATTATCGATCATCTAAAAATCCATAATTATCATGTCAGAAAGAATATATTAGTATCTGAAGCTCTTGGTGGCCCTGTTACTGTGGCCAGTGAAAGAACTTGATTTCTCTTTAGTTATTTTAGTGCTTCCTGAATGATAACAAAAAATAATTCTTCCTAGTAAAAATACAACATATCCTTTCTTCTCTTTGTTTAGCCTATTCCCAGCAGGAATCAAAGTCTCGTCTCTCTGGTATTCTCATTCCCTTTAATTGACTAGATTGGAATGCATTTTTTCATAAAAGCTGATGAACTCTAAAATAACCTCACCAATCTGCTGTTCTGGGCTAGCTATACTAACACTGACTCCCTTAAAGTAATTTGTGAAAAGTAGTTGAGTCACAGGTATTGCCTGACTACCTCTCAAACTAAGGCAATTTGCCAATTACATCCATGGAGTGAGTAGTGAGCTTTTAATGTGCTCTGACTGATAGCAATAGCAAAACCAAGATTGACTTCAGCAGAGCAAACCCATGTCTTAAATGAGCATGTCTTTGAGACTTTCAATTAAAATCATCCACTGAGACATTCACAGAATCTTGTCGGCCTCATTACCGTGGTGCGTTAACTGTTCATGCTTGACCGGATGAACATGAACTGTGGAGGAAAGAGTCATGAATTGGACTTTTTGCATCTAAGTGTCATTTATTATATTAATAGAAATATGTTTCTGAGAAATAAATTTCAATCTCGATCTTTTTCTAGCTTGCAAACTGAGAAATGTTCTTCTACATACAGAAAGGTATAGATACAATGTTTTGTACATACAGAATTTTTGTTATGCTCTTCCTGGATCTGGTATTGAGGTTTGGAACTATTATTATTCTTCGTTAGTTTAAAATATATATTCTCATAATATTTTGGAATTTAAGGAGCTGTTTTATAGAAGCATTTGATTTTTAAAAATGGTATAACTGAAGTAATTGATAATAAGCAGAAATGGAAATGTACTTTTGTCCAGGAAGAGAAATAGGAGTGCAAATGAAGACTGTTCTTGCTACAGTTGGATATTGTATATGTTACTTAGGTGTGAAATTGCATGGTGATTGATTTCATCACATTGTTGTTAAACAGTGATTTTCTTTGCCATACAAAAGAATTAATATGATTTGACTTTACTCTTTCACTGAGATCAAAGCCAGGACCTCTCTTCCTCCTACATTTCTTCCTCTGTCTAGTTCAGTCTCTCTCTCACAGCATAAGCATTCTTTGTGTGCATTGTCTTTGTGATAGAGATGCAGAGGATCTTTTTCTGACCCAAGAAAGATGAGAATGTAATCACATTTCACAGCTTTCAAAATATGACTACAGATTGCTACCTTGAATGTTTTTTGTACTGTTTCTGTGTTGCCATGAGCTAGATTTTGTCCTAAGTGTCTGTTTGTGCAACCTTGCTGTAGATTACATCCATGGGAAAGCATTCCCGCTACCCTTTCATTTCCTTTTTTGTTTTGTTTTGCAATTGAGTCTTCTATTTGTAGATACCTATATAAAGAACATTTATTTAAAACACATCTGGCACGTTATTTTGAAGGTGAACTGTGCAGCAAATAATACCGCTGCAAACAGCTTTTGAAAGGGAGTTATGGCTTAATAATAATTTAAAGCAGAACCTCCATAAATTCCAAGACCTGTTTGCTTGGTCCATTGATTAAATAATAGAGAGTATGTACTGTCGTCCAGATGGCTTTTTTTTGTTCCTCAGTTTAGTGGCCAGTAAACTATGCTGGCTTCTTAGCTGCCAAGAGGTTCAGCAGGAAGATGTTCCCCCAGTTGCCACCAGTCAAGTGGAATCCTTTAGCCATCTGAGCCCTTGATAGGAGTGTTACAGCACAGAAACAGAAGAAGCTAGGTATGGATGACTTACATCTAAAAATCTCAAGACCCTTGGGTTGCACCATCACTTAAAACTTTTCCATTTCCCCTCAAAGTGCTTTTGAAATTTTTTTTCTTCTTCATTTAACGTGGTGATTTTGTGCTGCTGTGGTTTCTGAAAACACCCTAAGTGTATGCCAAAGGCAGAGCCAACAGTGACACATGCAAGTTGCTGAATAACTGGGGGGGGGGGGCGTGAATTATTCATAAAAGAAAATGATGTGCTGTGAGGCAGCACTTGTGGATAAGTAGTGTTCCCTTTTTGTTTTCCCTGATACAGTATGCTTTTCTTGATCATATTTTTTAATGTTTGTAAAAGATATTTGTAAAGAATACAGCCATATTACCAATTTTTGATTGGAAATGTGAGGTCATCATAATTTATTGCTGTGTGTGATCAGATTCTGGGCCACATTTCTGTGCGCTAGCAAGAACATAACTCTGGACTAATTGTGGCAGGCACTCTTTATACTATTGTCACAATAAATAAGAACATACCACAGCTCTTCATGAAATCTTAGAAACCAGAATAAAAAATTCAGCCTTTTTTTCTGGCCATTTGCACAAGTAAGGACACATTCAGGATTATCAGATAAAACAGAATATATTTGACTTCAGTATTTTAAAAGCTTGAACTTGCACTGAATGATTTTTAGACTTTCTGCTTTAGAAGATGTCTCCAGAAAACTGCAAACTGCTGCAAACCAGCATTAGGTAGACACTGAATAGCAGATAGTGTTTTAACACTTTCCCCCATCGTTAGTAGTGGTCTACAGTTCAGTTCCCATGTGTGTCTTTTCTCTGAAATGTTGTCTCACCTCTGATAAAAGCAACAGACATTTGGCTGTCTAGTTATGATATGGGAAAGTATGTATCTGTTGTGTATCTGTGTTGTATTATCCACTCATTCCATAATTTCACAAAAAAAATCACAAAAGGCTGCTTAGCACAATGTCTGTGCATCTGGAAATATATTTCTCACGCTAGAATCAAGGAGTTGCTTGGGGATTATAAAGATCATGTAATGATGACAACTTATGGTCATGACCACCAGAATAGAAAAGAGTTTGAATTCAGTGTTCATTTTAATCCCTGTGTTTCTTTCTGACTTTCTTTTTCCTATGCTGCAAGACAGTGCCTGGATCTCCAAAACTAGTGAGCACCCTGTGGTAAATATGTGTGTGTAATATATAATATACATCTGCTACACTAACGTAATTTGGATTGGCAAAATCCTAATGGTGCAAGTGCACAGACTATATTGTTGAAAGCTGCATAGACGGTACTGGTTTTGAGTGGTGTGTACCCTACTTACAACTAAAGAGTTGTATCTTGTAACCTTATAATTCCCATCACTGTAGAATTCATGCTATTCAGATATCTCTCCTAAATTCAGTGGACTGTGTTTTGAGTACTTGCTAAATAACCAAAGGGAAAATCCTCAGTTTGATTTAGTAAAGTTGTTATCATGTTGCCTTTTTTCTTTTTTTTCTTTTTTTTTCCTTTTTTTTTTTTTTTTTTTTTTTTTCTGTTCGTTTGTTTGTTTTGAAACATTTGGGTTATTTTGAGCCTGATGTTCACCCCACAGGTAGGTAAAATCTGTATGTTTGCAAATGCAAATGCGTGCCTACTTTGCACACCTGGTGTGTGGTCACTAACCAATACAGACCTGTAGTCACCCACCTGCAAAGTAGACACATATTTTCACCAACACAAATGTTTCCTTTACAGGGAGGCTGGCTAAAACTAGTGTCAAAAGTAAGAAAAAGTAATAATGTTGCACAAACAAAGGAATTTAGCAAGAGCATGCTTAATGGTGTTTTCCAATATTGGTTTTAAAAGAATTTCTATTCAAATCTTAACCAGGCCTGAGTAGATATGAGCCTCATTGAAGTAACTAGGCCAACATCCACAGTTACAAAATGCTTGTGTGCTGCAAACATGTATGTAATGTTGTTAAATTTTCCAATTTTAAGTAAGTTATATGATTTGTCTGTCGGAGGGAGCACAAAACCGGTGAAGTGTAGAGATCAAAGGGACAGAAAAACAAAGTGCATCAGAAGTGATCAGGAACTGTGCAAAACAAAGTAGCTTTCGTTTTTTCACTTTACGTTTCACCTTCTTGCTGCTACATTTTTTCTGCTACAAACTGTCACTTTCTGCTTCCTCAGCTAATATTTTAGATTCATTTTGCATGTCAAAATGGTGCAAGCTACCACAATCACTGGCACCCATTTCCTGAACATCTTATACCCAACATGTATCTTATAACACCATTTGTGTCAGTGCTAATGCAGTAGTTTTACAGCCCACTGCTACCAAGGTGAGAAAGAGTTCAAGGAGAAAATAAAAATGGTTTAATTCATTTGTTGCAACACAGTGTAAGAAAGAGCGGTGAAAGTTCCTTTACAAATATTTTCAACCAAATCCAGCCACATTAACTACTTATTTTTTTGTCTGTTGTTGTGACTCAGTTTTAAGGCATTTATGAATCTGCCTGAAAGTAGAACGAGGACACAGTGCTCAAATATATCGTTCTGCTGCTTTACCCATTACCAAGGAAGTGGCTTAATAATTACATTCAGTTTAAAAAATTGTTTTTAGAGAAAATGTTTTGTGATAAACCAAAAACAAAGCACTTCAGTTACTAAGCTATTTTAACTTTAAATATTAAAACAGAAAACTTTATTTTGTGCTATTGTTTGTTTCTATTTCTTTTTAAAGGTTTCAGTTTGCATTTTCATTTGTAGCAAACCTGACAGTCAACAACTAAGACAAAATACTGTTGACCTCAGTGATCTTGCAAGTGATTATTCCAGGGCTGATACATTAGATGCCATTACAGCTCTGGCTCTTGGACATTGTACATAGGTATATGTGGCATTTATTATCTTGAATACATAATAAGGTATAGAGTACATGAGGCGGAAAGTGTCAAGATTTTAGGTGCACCATCTGTAACGTAAGAGCCATGGTTTAACTTCTACAAAGAGAACCAAGTTCAGTGATATATTCATGCAATTGCTATCATTACGAAGCACTTAATAACTGAAATCACACTTAGAGTAAAACAAGGCAGTTACCACAATAACTTAACACAACAGAGAATAAAACATACTGCAGCCACTTGAAAATGGCACAGTAACTTTGTTGGAAGACTACACTCAGCAAGAACCAGAAAGTCACCTTTTTCAAGTTCCAGACTATAATTTTATAGCCATTTTCCAATAACTGCACAAGCTAAAAACCGTGAGTCTTTTTGGTTGATGCTGGAATACCTTCAGGACTTCCCTTGTGCAGACCTTAGACCTCTTCAAGAGAGAGAGTTTAAGTTCAGGTGCTCAGGGTGGTGTGTGACGAGCCACAGCCATCCCAGTGAGACAGCTCTGAATAACATGCCTGCAGCACGGCAGGGTCTTCTAGGTTGATGGGACAATCTGAAAATCCTGATGCTCTTTGGAACTATCAAACAGAAGTTTCAGCTCCAGAGAGAAACGCCAAGTCAGAATGAAGGCAAGTGAACAGTAGTGACATCTCCAACAGCGCCATGTCCCGCACCTCTCCTGTTCAGGCACTGTGGCAAGACTGAGTCAAAGGGAAACGGCTGTCTGGTGAAAGAGCTCCACCACTCTCGTAAGCACTTGGGGTTGTCTTTGAAGGTTTTCCATGCAAACTGCACTGAGTTCATGGGATTAGGCATGCCTGCAATCTGAGGCCCTCCTGCTGCAATGGCTGGAGGTATTTCTTCAAGCACAGACTTCAGGTAGCATGGGCGATATCGTTTTTTCCTTTAGAGACATACTTCTTATCCCTTCCCAGAAAAAAAACAAAAAAAAAAAACAAAAAAAAAACATTTCACTTCGTGTGATGTGCCTAAGCAGCAACGTAGGAGATCTCCCACATGACAAAGTCAAAATATTGTCCTCTTTTAGTATGGAGTGACAGGTTGCGATAAATAGACTGGTTTCTCTGACTAACGTGTTCCTACTACCTAGTCACATATTAACGAGCCAGCACGCAGAAGCATGAAGTAATCTTTTGTTTTTCATTAAGTACATAGATTAAAGAGTTGTTATTTTACTGTAATGCACAGAATTATGTCATTTCAGCTTAGAGTAATTGTTAATCACGTCAAATTGAAATGATCCTTGGTTTTGTTTTAAAGAGCATAGAAGAACAAGAAGTAGAGGAAAAACAGAAGTAGAAATGGAATATGAGACTATAGTGAAAGTGAGTGAAACATTCCCCTTTTTATCTAGTAATGCTAATGTTGTTTTCATTTTACATGTCAAAACTTTGAGTCAGGAGCATCCACAATTTACTGCCTGGTGGTTCCTCTGAAATCTTTGAGCAATTACAGCCCTGATTATTATCTGCTAGCTGCATAATATGCCGCCACTGGCCATTACATTCTTTTTATGCTGGTAAAGCAATTTGTGGCTTCTTCAAATCATACCCCACCACATTGTCTGCCTGCCTGCTTTATTTATTGCCGCTTTTGCCCCACCTCAGCGCAGTGGTCAGGGGCTGTGTGTAGCAGCATGATTATACAAGTCGTCTTCCTACAGCCCTTTGGGTCATCAGAATACCCCCTGTTCTCTGCTCACAGTAGCTGCAGTACTCACAGATTAGAAAACCAGGCACTGTTAAATGTCTCTCTGAAGAGGTAAAGATTGATGTGTGGGGAGATATAGGGGTAGGAATTGAGAACATCTAAATGTAGAGAATGAGCTAGGGGAAAGATGCTGAAGGTGGGAATTCTGGGTACCTCTGAAGATCAAGCTTACCAAGAAGATAAATTTAGGATTTGTCATCTGGGACACTAGACTATGGGATAAAGAAAGAAAGGATTAACCAGGGTGTCAGGGCAGCAGGGAAAATTGGGGGGAAAAAAAAAAAAAGAAAAAAAAAAAGACATTTATGAATGTGAATCAGTAAAGCAGGATTAGCGAAGCCTGAAGGGGAAGATTTAGAGGTGAGAGAGTGAGTTTTTCAGGGAGGAAGAACGGAAGACAAATGGAGAAAGGCAGTCAAAGCCTGGAAGAAAGAAGCAAACGGATTAAAGATATTTTTTTCCTTGCTTTATGAGAGGGCTAATGATTAGAACATGATGATAGAGGGAATTAGTATTTCAGAGATATCTCTGCTATCAGGAGACATGATTATGTATAAGTGAGCTCCCTGAAACTTCTTTAAGTATGGTCATGCCAGAGCTTTCACTGACATGGGGATGACAATAAACCATACACCTTTGTCACTGAATCAGTGAATCTTATTTGCTTTGTATTTTTATTTAATATTTCTCTTTCAACTGCTGCCTTCTGCAATGTTTTGATATGTTTTGTTTCTCTTTGAGAACTGCCATAGCTTCTCAGTGAGGACTGTATTTGGTAATAAAACCAACCTTTCTGCTTGCAGCTACCTGGATGCAAAGGATTTTTTTCAACTGCCAGTCAGGCAGTGTTTGCCTTTCTGCGTCTTGTGGCTCAACTCGCACACATGCTCAGGCGTAGAAGAAGCTTTCTCAAGAGTGCTGCAGCTCCACCCTGCTAGGGAATGTCCTTGTATGGCTTGTCACCATCCTATACAAGGCCTTAATAATTGTTTTATAAGTTATAGCCCTTCCTAATGATAACCAAGGCCCAGGTTTTGACACTACACTTCCAGTCTGTGTGGTGCCAATGCTGGTGTTAGCAGCGCTACACCTTCAGCAGTGGTGAAGGAGCATGCTTGCTATGATTGCTGCTCTCCTACCTAGCCAGCAGCAGTGTGTCAATTCCTTGTGCCTCCCTAGGGGTTGTTTTATTAGCCTGCCTGGGGGGGTTGTTTGTTTGTTTATTTTTTAAATGCATATATACTTCCATGGGCATGTACAGGTAAGAAAGAAGGAACCAGCTCTGCGTGTTTGATATGTATCTTGCAAAACAGAGATTTGCTTCTAGACTCTAATGAAATGTAAATGCTAAGTAAGTTCGATTTTCAGCATGTGACTATAACTTGATTGGTCAGGCGTTTTTGTTTTGCTGTGGATTACCTGTCCCTGCCTATATGGACACTAGCATATTTTTCATGTATCTGTACATATCATTATATACTTACAATTTATTTTAATGTTTCTACTATTGAAAAGTGTTTTTCTTAAAAAAGAAGAATGCAGTTAATTCTAAATATTTTTTAGTTCTCTCATTTGATAAGGTCAGCTATTAAAGCTGCTAGGTGGGGCTTTGATTGCATGAATGTTGTTTTCCTCTTGGATACAGGCAAGGCAACTAAAAGTGTGCGTTTCCTGAGCAAAGTAGTTGTGACAAAAGAAAGTAGAGGACATAATGAATATGTTGGCACCTTGACAGTATTCAAAAGAGCGACTTAGTCGAGATGGCAACATTAAATTGGCAATTGTTCATTAAAGAACTGGGATTTCTTTGCTGTTTGTGTTTAAGTGTCATGAGAATATTGATTTCTCTTCCTCAGGGATATTCTGTCTTCCTTTCCTGAAAAGCAGGAGGATAGAAATAGAGCTGAGCTGCCTTGAAACCACTCTGTGAACATTTAAAAAAAGAGAAGTGCTTAACACCGTACATCATTTACATTTTAAACAATATGAGGCCAACTTCGTGTCCCCTGCTTGGGTCAAATCAGGGTATCTTGGGAGGATGGTTGGCAGCTGGGCAATCCAATTGCTTCTGCAAATGTTACCTCAGAGAAGAACCCTGTGGCAGCCATGTAATCACTCATAACACCTCATCTGGTCCACTGCAGTTATTCTTTCCTTTGCTTTGTCCTGCTCTCAGGAGTTCAGCCTCATAGACTACATACAGGGGAATGTGGTATTAGGGAAGCTGTGCATGCTGGAATTACCATTCAGTGTGTCCTACCTGTGCATGAAAACTGGGAAACAACGTGGATCAGCTCTAGGAACACAGGGAGTTCCAACCAGGGAGAAAGGAATCCACCACACAGTTTCACTTGCTCTAAAGGAAATATGAGAATGATGGGAAGTTCTTTTTTCTTCCATTCCCTTCTGCCCCAAGCTCTCATGCTCTGAAGTGGCTGGGTAGGAGGAGGTCAGGTGACACGGAAGGGAAGAGTCAAGTTTTCATGCAGGCCATCAAGATGTATCTCCGCGCTCTCCCCCATACAAGAAACCAGTGACTTTGGGCTGAACAAAACTAATGACCTTAGAGAATATTCATATGCTGGAGAGGTATGTAATCCTTGAGTCATGATAGTAGCTGTGCAGAAATGTAGAGAAATGACCTAAATTCACAGCTTCGTTCAGGAACTATCTGAATCCACTAGTAAACATTAGTCATCTATAGCAGAAACTTTCATTTGATAATAGTGATTGATTTTTGTCAACTTCAGAAACCTAAGAACATCTTTGAGGCAGAATAAGAGAATGTAAACTTAAAAGTCTGGTCTAAACATACAGCTCTTTTTTTTTTTTTTTCCATGCATCCCTTCCAAGCCAGGAAGGGATGGCTTGTGATAGCTCTGAAAAGAAAGACCTAACGGTTACACTTTCCTCATCCTTTAAGATCTTTCAGATAAACACTTAAGTGCATGATAGAGTTTTTCAGTAGGCTTCAGGCATGTGTAGGTGCTGTCTAGAATCAAGCTGGCGTCTTTTCTAAACCTGGATTTTTGTAAGTCCTTTAATGCCTGTTACATACAACTAGAATTCTGTGGTGCAATGTCAGCCTGCATGTTTAATTACTATATGGCCTGTGGGAATGATATTGCATGTGGTAGCTCACATTCTGACATCTTTATTTTCACAAAGTAGGTGTTAATGCCTGAATAAAACATATGGCTTGAAGCACATAGGGCAAATTACTTCACCAACTGCTGATACTGAAGGTTAGTATTTCTAGAACCCATTAGTATATAGAATAGATTATCTCCTGATGTTCTTCTTGAGATTATTTAATACCAGGATATTTAGAGGTATCTGTTTGGCTCAGAGCTTTATTTTGCAGGGTTGCATAGGTCAGTGGGATCTCAGTCTAATATTTCTGCTCACAGGGTGATCTTTTCTGCTGAAAAATCTGAAAGCCCAGATCAGGTTTTGGGAATCAGTATTCCTGATAGGACTGATGGCCTTGGAAGCAATTAATTCTTTCCCTTTTCTTTTAGTAATACATCTTATATTGCTTAGCTTGGATCCTGCTGAAGTTGAGGTGTAATAGGTGTATGAGTCTGTAATACTAAGTAGCATGGAAATTGCAAAACCTCCTGGGAATGATAATTCGCTGTCAGTCTTTTCCTCAAAGACTCATTGAAATTCTGAGCAGGGGCTCATGCTCTCTGTGGCATAATGGAAAAAACTCTGCAGTAACTTCTCCCCAGTTCCATGTCAGTGTTAATGTCTCCTCTTGGCCTGGAATACCCTTCATTCCCATCTGTATTCAGTCAGACACTACTGTGGCTCACATTAGAAAATACTAGTTGATTGAAAATTAATTCAATTTTTAAGTTATTACTCGTTTTTTTTTGTTTGTTTGTTTTTTACTTTTTAGGTGATTTTTTTTTTAAGTCTGGAGTTATTTTCTTGTAATATCAGCTGCTCCTTAATGGCTGCTGCTTCCGCAAAGTAGATTCAGTTAAGTGATATAAACCATGTTTGAGGATTTGATCCAGGCCAAGATCATCTCTTTTTGCAGCTGCAAGAATTCATATAATGTGAAAAAGCAATAAGCTTGCTCAGAGATCTTTTATGTGAATAGTTGTCTGTCTTCCTATACAAACACGAGTAAAGTAGAGCGCATGCATTACAAATATGAATGCTGCCTGCTAAGAAGTTGAGGGTGTCCTGTGCCCTGCTGTGTTGCTTTTTCAAAAGTTTTCTGAGCAAGTAAGCTTCACCACCCTTTCTTCCTAGTGTGGACAACTGTCAGAGGTCACCACCATGACAGTGTCCATTTTCATGTCCAGTTCTGTCAGTACCCAGAGATTTTTCAGTAGGTTTCTCCTTCAATAATATGCAGGAGACCAGAAGAGAAGAAAAAAAAAAAAAAAGAAAATAAAAAAAAAAATGACAAGTGTCTTACCAAAGACCCTTTCTTTAGCTGGGTCTGGTATGAATACTTCAGTAATGTGAATTCTTATAGAAAATCTCTGTTTATGACACTGAAATCAGCATTTTGATTTACATAAAAATAGTCAGATGCCCTCTTATTTTTCGCATATTTTTGTGAGTATATGAGTATATGCGTCCACAAATGTACAGACATGCCATAAGAGAACAGACTCAATATTCACCTTCATTTCCCTCCTATAGCAATTCAATGAGCATTTAGAGGAGCACTTTTTAAATAAGCATGCATATGGTAGAGAACACCTGAGAGTGTTTTTTAACAAAGTTACATGTCAGAATACTGACAGTAGGAAATCTCGCAGTGGCTAGGCTGCATGTCAAAGAGGTTATCATTTTCCATGCACAGAAGTATAAATCACTACTGTCTGAGGATAAAGAGCTGTATTACACACAGAAAGGTAACTGCCTGATGCTCTGCCTTTTCTTATCAAGTAATAGTATAATTAAGTGCAAGATACCAGAGACAGTAAGGTGTAACAGCTTGGTAGCTGTTGTTGTAGCATGCAGAGAAGACTTAAGATAGCAACCTGTTTGTTTCGGTTTGTCTGACTTTAAAGAAGCATCATTCTCAGGTACACTTTCTGATTACCTCCATCAGACATTCTTTACAACAGAGAATATTTCAGCTGCTTGTTCCTAATTTCTGTGGCGGGAAGACACCATTCAGCTGAATGTTCTCTGACTCCTCATGGATGCTGCAGGCATACAAGACTCAGGAAAAAATACCTATCAATTAATAGCTGCACTTTTAAAAATAATTCCACTTCCCCTCACTGCTGCCACTGAGGATAGCGGCTGCAGTCAGCATCTGTGACAGTCCATGCTGTGTACCTCTGACAGATGCCAGTGTGAACCAGCTATAATGGTACAAATGTCGAGTTGTAGTTTCAGCACATCATTGCAGCAAAATATGTCCAGATAAGGGAACTTCTGTTTCAATAAGATCTATTCTGTAAAGACAGTAAGATGTAAAAGAGTGCTTTGAAGCCTTCTTTGAGAGCCTAGAGCCATAGCAGCAAGTAGAAACTAAAATGGTGACTTCTCCTGATGTATAGGTGTTCCCCTGCAACCAGCCTCCCCCCGTCTTCTAGAAAAAGAGTAGCTAAGCTAAATAAAATTCTCATCTACATTTACCTTGCACTTGTAAATGATCCTGTGGCAGAATCTTCTTAATCAGCTGTTCTTCAGGTTATATATGTTGCTGTCCTTCCTTTGCGTTAATCACTGAAGTTCTTTTCTTTTTTGTCTGAAAACAGTCATACTGTATGATCAGAAAATGAATGCACTGAAAATGCAACACTGCAAATTAAACACGTGGATAACAGCTTGTGGCTTCGGTAGTCTGTGTTAACATGTGACAAGCAGAGAATAGTAAACTGAGAAAGAGTTCTCTTGTGAATTCAGTGCCCCCATTATCTCTCCTTCTTTATCCGAAGGGCTGAGGAAATCTTTTTTGTTAGCCAAGACTGCTTGGTGCTTTGGCTTAATTTTCACTGCATAATTTTAAATACAGATTGTGTCTACAGTGCTGCAATTAATGGATAGCCTAAAGACTTATTATTTCAAACTAATTGATATGTAAGAAAGTTTAAATAACATGTGTTAATTTTTTTTTTCTTAGGAATAACTCCTGTAACTAACTCAGAATAATCTTATTACTGTTACATTGAGTAGCAGTTGACTTGCTTATCCACCATTACTAAATCTAATGCTTGTCTGTAGTTCTATAGTTCTAAATCCATTTGCGTTAGATGCAGAAAAGATGGTATTTTATAAATCCTTGTTCTAAAAGATTTTTTTGCAAGTAAATAATATTATTCGTTTCTGAAACTTGCCTACTGTCATTTGAAATGCTCCCCAAATTCAAAATCAGTCTCTGTTATCCTCAGTAGAATGTGTACTTTACAGATATTTTAAATAGAGCTTTAACCCAAGCAACAAGTGTTTTCAAAGTACTGTTGCTTCCTCAAATAACTGAATCACTTTCCATGCGAGACATGTATTTTTCTAGTGTTCATTAAATTTATCTTCAACTAGACTGTGATCAGAACTGGCATGACAGAATACATTGTAAAGTTATAAGACCTCTCAAGAACTTCTTAATGCCTTTGGAAGATGTCAAGTACTGCAGTAATAATAAAATACAGATAGAGCATTAAGAAGATAAGTTCTTTTAATGGAAAGTGGTTTGGTTATACTGCCAATTCTTTTTCTTAAATAAGGTTTTGCACAGTACAAAACTTTTACAAGATAGAGGCTACCAACAGTGATACACACAAATGAAATCAGATTAAAAACAAATCAGAGCTCTAAGGAGGTCATGTTATACATTTTGATGGCATCTCAGTGGAAAAAAAAGCAAAGGACTTAGTGAAGTTCCATGGGATTCATCTCAGTTCAAGCTGGACTCTCCAGTGAACTAAACTTGGATGAACTATATTAAGTTCAGAAGGAGAGAGGCCAGGGACCAAATCCAGCACACACTGATGTCAATAGAAAAGCTCATTCTTCCTGTAGAAGGCTTGAGAGTGGGAGGAGGCCCTGGTGTGGTCTCTGCACACTGAGACCTGTGGGAAAGGAAGGTACTGAAGGAACCGATTCCTCGTGGTGCTGGTCCTTCGTCTGCCTTTCTGGGGGCTGCTCTTTCTCATTGGGCCCGTCATGCTGTTCTTGACTGGCTGTGCCTGAATCCTTCTATACAGGATAGGACACCATAGACAAAAGGTACTTTGTGTCCTTCTCAAACCTGCAGCTTCACACTGTGCACTGAAGTAATTGTTTTCTCTAATTAAGCATGGACTCTCCCTCTTCAGCCCGTTCTCCTGAATACAGCAAGCTGTTACCAGTATGAAGGTATCACTGGCCAGTGTTAGTACGTTGTGGCATTCCTTATTTTCCTGTATCTGCTAGCTATACCTTCTAGGGAATATATTCCTCTTCCTTGGCAAGAGGTCTGACTGCAAAAACTAAGTGTGCTGGTGGCAGTATCATTGACCAATCTGTTCAAGAGGACTTTAAGATGTCCAGCTGCACTGCAAGGTGAAAAATATACCATAGAGCAGACTTCAACATGCAAGTGCTCCTCTGTGTTTACAATTTGCATGCTTTCTATCAGCATAGCCCACTGAATATATTCCACCACACTTGGGAACAGCTGACCTGAGGATCTCTGCTGGCTGGTTGGGCTGCAGCACGGTAAGGGTGGTAGTTGTTCACCCATACTAACTAAAAGAGGGGCGAAACACCTTCAGAGGCTTCCCTTCTTCGTGGAGCTTAGGTGCTCAACAGAAACCCGCATCAGGTTGGGTGCAGAGAGATAAAGATTGCTGGGTCTGGACATGAAAATGGCATCTGACCTTTTCCACAGGAATTTGTTGTCTCTACCTGTCTGTTGAAAGAGGCCTGGATTTTAAGCAGCAACCTGGCCCTGTTTCCTAAACTCTTTCGTGCTTTGCAGCTACCTTCAGTTGCTAAGTCAAGATAGTTGAAAATCCTGATGAGCTTTGGATCTCTGTTTGGGAAAGAGTGTGCATTTTGTGCTATTTAGTGCTGGTGCTTATTTCATTTGACCTGGTTAGTTTTTGCCTGTATTTAAATGGTTGCTGGTACTGTAAATCCAAAACCCATCAAAGTCACTCACTGTCTTCTTCTAAACATAAATGAACTTTGGCTTTGCCTCTTAACAGGAATGAGGCCAACCTACTCTGTGCAGCACTGGGACAAGCTTTTTGTTGTTTATCTAGCATTATGAGTTACCTTATATGTCAATTTTTGCATTGCGGGATGCTTGCTAAACATCATTGAAATAAAGTTTTCTGCATGGCTCATTTAAACTTGATGGGTAATTAGAGACTTGCCTGAGTTTGTGATAGTTAGTGTTAATACGACCTTTGAAAAAAATGTTTAAATAAAAAACAACTGAACTGAAACATTAATCCCTTGAACTTAATCATGAGGATAGCTCCATTAACCTCCCTTTGCATAGTACTCCTTAATCCAGTAATAGCAGTACAGACAAGAAGAGGTATTTTTCCTTTTAAGTTCATTGTAGTATCAGAAAGTAAAGCCTTTGGGCTATTTTTAATGAGGTTGAACCTCTGGGCAGTGCGGCTCTTACATTGAGCTGTAAAGTTTTAAGAGGTACAGTAAAAATTCCATACTAATTTTGCACCCCAAGCCAAAAAAAAAAAGTAAAATAGTGCGCTATGCAATATAGCCTGAAACAATGAGAAGTGGTGTGTATATAGGTGAAAAAAAGATGGAAGTAGAGAGAAATGAAGATAGCAGTACTATATGGACATAGAGCAGCCATTACCAACATCAGACTTTGCATTCTTAGCAGCAATGGTACGACTTAGTTTAATATTAATTATATAATGAATGTAAATTGAGTTCCAACTTTTTGTCATTGTTAAGCTCAGTCTCAACTTCCCTTACACTGCTTTCTTGGAAGTAGAAAGGCCAAAGTACTAAACCATTATTCTTGAAGGATGGAAAGTGAAGGAAAGTAGCTGTGTGTCCACTGTTAAACTTCTGCTAGGCATATAGTAATGCCAAAGTTGAGTGGCTTTGAATATTTTGCCTTCAAGAAGAAAAACACGTTGATTTTTTCTAATGTTTTTACTAACAACAAAAAAGAGAGCAAAGAGAGAGCATTACAGTAATTCATTCTGAGATGGCTAAAATCATGGACAGCAGCTCAAACATATAGGTTATCCTGCCAAAACTTTTCTTTTTTTTTGACAAATAAACTGCGAAAAATTAATAAAAATAAAAAGTCACCTAACCCCACCTGTGAAGCAGAGTAGCAAAGTCAATATAAAACTCAGCTGTGAGGTGAAAATGTGCTTGTGTACTTCTGTTTCATTGCCTTCCCAAAGTGGTCTCCATCCAAGACATGAATCTCTATCTCTCTGTCTCTAGAGGGTTATCTCTCTTGGGTTACTCTTCAAGCACCTGAGAAATTTCATGTTTGGTCTTGAAGATGTGGCTTTCATCAAATTACAAGTATTTACATTTATTATTCGTTTGATCAATATCTGCCTCAAGCTCTGGGTAGCAGAAAGCATATTTAAATTTCCAATTTTAGCACAATAGCATAAAAGCTTGAAAGCTTTTAGAGCACCTAAATGATGTGAGGGACTGTATCTTAATTTTCAAAATTAGCTAATTCTAATTTATTTAAAAAATATTTACCAAACAGGTTAAGACATACATGTAGATAGCTAGAAAAGAATATGCTTATCATCCAGTCATTCATCCACTTAACCTCTAATTGTCTTCTGGGAAAGATAATATACACTGTCAAACTTCTGAAATGACAAAGTGTGATACAGGTAATTCTCTTTTTAAAAAGTCCTTCGCATGTCAAATGAAATTTTCCTTTTATTGGTAAGTTTAGGGATATGTGGGTGTTAGAGCAAAACAGGCTACTTCGCTGAAACAAAAGTTGCACACTACTCCCTCAAAGGAAAGTCTTAGCTTGTAATGTTACATTTTTCTTGTCTTTCCACAACCTTATTTGAAGAAAGACAGCGGTCAGAGGTAGGGCTAATGATCAGAAATGGTATCTGGATTTATTTGGCAGTGTGGCAGTTGCCCCACTGCCTAATTCCAAAGGAAGTGAAGAGCATTGCTGGACTTGAGATATTGCAATAAATAGTAGAAATATTTGTCAGTATTTGCCTAATGTTACTACCATATGCACAGTTACCTGCATACATTTGTGTGTGTCTGATACCTCTGAGTTAGATCCTAAATAGATTTCTTTCATTAGGTTATGTTAGAGAATAATAGATTGGTTGCTAAATTGGCTCATCGTTTGGTGAGATGCGTGTCTCTGCTAATAGTAAAGAGGAAGCTAAATTCATGTTGCTAGTGAGCGGGAAATATTTTGGAATAGCCTTCATTGTTACAAAGGATTACAGAGCTGCAACTACTTGAAAAGATTTTGGAAGAAACTTCTAAGGCTTTGATCTTTATTCAGAGTGCTTGCTTTCTAGTCTAAAAACATTCATTTTAACAGGATATTAACAGAAGGACTGACTGCTCGGAAATTTTCCGAGCACACTTTTCAGCAAGGTTCCATCCTGCAGAGACTTTCTAATATGAAGAGGTATAGCCAGTGCGAGTTATAAGGTTTTATCAGCATGATTATTTTTTGAACTAATGATGGCTTGCTTCTAAAACTCCTTGCAGCTCCCTGACAATAATCAGTGACATGGAAATTATACGGAGCATATACCT